GGGGGTGCCCCACAGGTGATGTACGTAGCAATGAAATGTGTAACTTACAATTTCCTGTAATAATATAAGACATTAAAATAATAAAGTACACCACACGCGTACCAGATGTGGATCACACATCCGGTAAAATAAAAAAAAAAAATGAATGAATACCTCATATTCACCCATTTAGACTCTATTAACTCTAGTGCGATTATACTAACACGGATATTTGCCAATGCTCTTCTTCATAACCTTGAACCTCGTTCTTTATTGATTTAATGTTTATTATTTCACTCTAATGTCCTCACACTGATTTTCAGGTATTTTTTTTTTTTTGCTTTTGTGCTAAGATTAGTTAATAGTTCTCATGATTGGCCGCAAATTTTTGAGAAAAATTTTATTATAAAAGCCTCCATATAGTTTTTTTAAAAGTTTATGCTGTATCATTATATCTTTTTTAAATAAAAATTTGTATTAAAAAAAAAAAATGCTAAGAGCGAGTCAAAAGGTTCTTTAAAATTCATATAAATACGAGACTGATTTAAGTTTCTATGGGCCTTCACTCTTACAAGACAAAGGTTGAGCTAATTCTAACTATCGTCATTGATCAGGTACATGATGACTGTATTTAAACTTTTATTTATGTTTGATCATAGTAATGTTACATGACTGCTGTGATCAGAGACCAACTACGTATGTACTAATTCCTAATTCTTAAACCTAAGTATGCATTATTATTATTATTATTATTATAGTGTAAAGAAACCTTATGTAAGTAAACTTATATATCCGAGATCTGAGGTAGATCGATTTACATTTCCTGAGTGATTTCCGGATTACAATTTTTGTGTACAAAAAATTTAAAATCATAATATTTTAAAATTTTATTATATTAATTAACTTCCATTATTAATTAGAAAATAATCAGTACATTAACTACTATTACTTTAATAAAAAATCTCAATTTTGAAAAATTTTCGATTTGCTTGATTTTTACTGACCCAACCCTATATTGTTATTATTCAGATTAATAGTAAATTGAAATTCTACAGGTAACATTACATTACAGCTATATAATAAGTTAAATAGTACAAATTTAGAAGTTGTTTGTTAATGTATATTAGAGACAATTCTTATATTTAAAGAAATAACTTAAAAACAAAGGATTAAGTAATTTTATTATGAAAGTTAAGTACAGTTAGAGATTTATTAAATTTTCTAGATCATTTCTAGAATAGTCTATAATCATGCTTCAAAATGTGATTGGCATTTAATAATCTTTTTATAAAAAAATTCTAAAGTATTTTATTGATTGAATATATAATTAATATATAATAAAAGTCAAAACTAGATATTAAAATACCTATTTACAAACATGTACTTTTAGAATTCCTAAAGATTCTCAAGGCTTAACAAACTAGTTTTTTTACAAATCAATGTTTCAATTACATATATTTGTATTTTGACTAACAATGAATTTGAAACCTGAAGCTAAAAATCTGCACTTGTACAACACTGAGACTGTACATACATACAATTTTATAATTTTATTGAATCTATTATGCCGAATTACAAACTTAATCGAATTGGCTTAAAAATCATTCAGCTTAAAAATCATTCGGCTAATTTTTATCAGGTATTTCAGGAATTATGATAATAGCTGTAATGGGCGACTGCGATTTCATTAGTAAAAAATTATAAGTAATTCCGGTCTAATCTTTTGATCGTCGCTCTTAGCCAATCAAAATCGAGAATCTGCCGTGACTATTTTGTTGCGCAGCTACGGTTAATGACAAAATTTTTAAAAGCTTTGAGCGAAGATACCTCAGTAAGTACCTGATAAATTCGATGAAATTTATTTATTTGAATTCTATGGATCTATAGAATTTAACTAAAAAAGGTTTCATCGAATTTGGTCAGGTGGTTACTGAAATATCTAAGAAAATTTTGCCGCAAATTCTATTTGTGATAAAAACCGCATTTTTTTAAAATTTTTTTTAAATAAAAAAAAAACCGAAAGATGATATCTCAACAACCATCTGATCAAATTCGATGAATATTTTTTTATTTGAATTCTATAGATTCATAAAATTTCAAATAAAAAAAAATTCGCCGAGAAATCGCAGACAATCACAATTGTTTGCAATCGTACAAGCAGGCTTGCAGTGATCTACAAATTTTATTATTTGTGGTTTGCAAAAAATGTGAAATTTGCAGATCAATAAAAAAAAAGAAATCGATGATTTCTAACATTTTTTTTGCAAAAATTAAAGTTGTAGATTCATAATTTTGTAACATGTTTTGATTTAGCATCTTTTGTAGGGATATAATCATCATGTTGTAAAGAACTTGACTATGTAGTATTAAATTTTGTTTCTTTTCTAGCCCAATAAAATTTAATATTGCAGATAAGCAAGAAGAAAATTTAAAAGTTGCGCCAAATTCGATCTTATAAGTATTATTACATGATACTAGAAAATTAATTTGTTTATTACTGATAGAATCATGGAATTTCAAAGTAAAAACATAAGGAACTTTAGTATATTTTTTTTATTGAAATATATATATTTTTCATTACAATAAATTTTAGAAGTTGTATAAAAAAGACACTTTGTGCATCCAAAGCATGTTCCGGGATAATAAATTTTGTTATTATAAATGTTTTTTTTTTTAAAAAAATGTATGCCAAATAAATATATATTATAAATATATGCATAACAAGTCTTTATATAGTATAATATTAGTTGATATATATATACGTCATCAGAAGTAATGCTAAAAAAATCGGCAATCAGAAATCAGAAATCATTGATTTCTTTTTTTTTTTTGATCTGCAAATTTCACAAACCGCAATAAAAGTCACATCAATTTGCAAACAGCGATAACCCCATTATCGCGCTTTTCAAATTATTGATAGTTTGCAAATTAATATTTTATTAACAGGAATTTAACCATTATTTGACCTAGTACTCTTCTAGTTTTAGTATATTATTAGAGACAATACCATAAAGTAGAAGAATAATGGGAATCTTGGAAATTTTTAATTTCAGGTATTTGGTTTTTAGGCAATGTGAGTAAGAGAATTTTGAAAACTTGGATAACATAACGCGAACATGATGACTAAGAAATCTCATAAAACAAAAAAAATTAATTTATATAGTGGTAGTATACAAACCGAATAATTTGAATCAAATTTGAATATCGATGTTCGAACTTGCAATACGTAAAATTATGCTGTAATAATATTCAGTATATAGCTTGTATAACAGATAAATAATTGTCAAATGCATAGATATGTATTGGTAAAATATATTTTACATTTGGTAATTAAAGTAGTATTAACTTCCTCCATTAGTATTAATAAACTTCATGATCTTTTCTTTTAAGTCTTTAATCTCATTTTTCAACTCTTCAATGCTCGCTTTTTCATCACTAGTTTCAAGTTCTTCAGCTTGTACAGCTTTCAATAAAATTTGAGAAAAAAAGGGTTTTTCAAATCCTTGCCAATCTCCACTCTCAATTTCGCGAATTAAGTCACGGAGTTCGCTCACATGAGCTATATAAATTCTAAAATCGACTATACGTTGGTAATTTTTTTTAACAAATATATACTATAATAAATGAATGACTTACATTACTTCTGGAAACCAATCCTTATTTCTCCTTTGATGAGGCAGCATATAAAATAATTCAATTTCTGCCAAAATCTAACATTAAATATGATAAAAGTAAATAATTTATGTTAAATCTTTTTTTTTTGAGTACCAATGTGAGAGAAAATTATTTTTTAAATACCTCAGCTTTCTGCATTAAGTAAGATTCATTATTATTTGTTTCTGAAATCGCATTAGAAAGCAACCCAATAAACAAATTCATGAAATAAATGGTCGTAAAAAACGAAAATGTGAACATTAAAACAATCAAAGTAAAGTTTTCTTCTAAAACCCAAGATTCTATTGGAGATGAATCGCCTATTAAGTGCAGAATCAATCAAATTATTACTAAATTTATTAAATATAAATCATTAATATAAATTATAATAAAAAAAAAAGAAAAAATTACCAGTAAGCATAAGATAAACTGCCAAAATCGAAGTTGCAAACATGGAAAACATATTGGTACTTGCGTCCGGTGGCTCAATGAGCGATGGCTGAGTTGAAATAACTCCATCTTCACTAACTGAGTCATAAGTTGTTGCCAAATTCCATGGATCGTTTGGATCTGATGAATAACTTGGCTCATCTAATGAATACGTAGCACTAGGCCTTAATAATAAATGTAAAGAATGTGCGAAAGCAAACACGACACAAGCGATAATCGTCAAGAAAGAGAATGCTCGTTTTGCAACACCAAATATCATTGCAAAATAGACACCAATAAATCTGAAAGCACGAAAATAGAAAAGAAATTTTAATTCAAGCAATAGAGTAGCCATAGTTGTTGCCCAAGTAGGAGCCGTGCCATTTTCGATCCAGATGTAAGATGTGAATATTGTAAACGCTATTGCACCTATGTCTAATTAAAATCAATATCAAAGTATTTAATAATTTAGTACAGTATTTAAATATTTCATCTATACTATATAAATCAAGATAATTTACCAAAATAGTTCCAAGGACTTTTAATATAATCATTGGGAGAATGAATAAGTTGTCTAAACTCATGAACTAAATGATAAATTCCCAAGCCAATTGCCAAGTACAACAGAAATCGTTGTTCCCCTACTGTAAAAAAATCACCCAAAGTAACTACGAAAGTATAACAACAAAGAAATAGAGTATATATCGACCAAGAAATTAAATAATATCTTAATCCATAAGTATTCCATTTAAAATTTATTAAAGCTTCACCATTCCAATACTTGTATAGTTCTAGATCTATTGAATTTGTGAAATAACTTGGTGAAGGATTCTTTATTTCTTGCCAAGTGCTATATGATTTGGGATAATTCACAAATTTTGGAAGAGGAATAATAAGTTTGATTGTAGCTTCAGAATCCGGAATAGCTTTATTAAGATTAACAGATGGTTGAGAGATGTCCATTTCTTGTTTTGATCTATGTATCAACTTATTCCAATAAAACGTAATATTTGAAACAAATGTATCAATTAAAGAAGTTTTTGTTGATAATTGATTGTAAGTTCCAAAATGATATAGATGTTGAGTAGGCAACAAACTAACAATCTCACTATCCAATATCATATCAGGATCAGCTAACGGCATCACAAATGCAGTTTGAGATAAAAATCTAGCTAAATAAATTGGATGCCTTCGTAATAATTGAGGAAAGAATTCAATTATGATGGATAATAGTTGAATATCTGAGGTAGACCTAAGACTTTCGTTTGAGATGGTTATGTCTTAACATTGTTTGCAAAATTTTTCAACCAACTCATCTTCTTTTAAAAATAAAAAGGTTTCCATTAGAGTTGAACCATAATTGATTATAAAAAATTTGTCAGAGATATAATCATCTAATAATTCTTTAAAAAAGAATTGTTTTTTATCTTCTTTTTTTTCTCCAAATGTCAAATTTTTATTTTTAATTATGATCTGAAATTTTGAATCAGGAAATGCATTGGCGTAGGGTTTTAATTCGGGGAGTACACTGAATGGGTTTTCAACTTCATCTCCTAA